TTCATTAAGCCTAAAGAAAGTGTGTGCCCTCATGCCTGGAGGGAAGCAAAAGTCATTCCTTTACCTAAGAATAGTAAAGCCCCCTTTACTGGCTCAAATAGCCGACCAATCAGCCTGTTACCAACCCTTAGTCAAGTTTAGGAAAAAATAGTGTTTGACCAGATACAATGCTATTTTATAGTAAACAAATTGACAACATTCTTTCAGCACGCTTATAGGGAAGGACATTCAACAAGCACAGCACTTATACAAATGACTTATGATTGGCTGAGAGAAATTGATGATACAAATATTGTGGGGGCTGTTTTGTTAGACTTCAGTGTGGCTTTTGACATTATCGATCATAGTCTGCTGCTGGAAATACGTATGTGTTATGGCTTTACATCCCCTGCTATATTGTAGATAAAGAGTTACCTGTCTAACAGAACACATGGGGTGTTCTTTAATGGAAGCCTCTCCAACATAATCCAGGTAGAATCAGGAATTCCCCAGGGCAGCTGTCTAGGCCCCTTACTTTTTTCAATCTTTACTAACGACATGCCACTGGCTTTGAGTAAAGCCAGGGTGTCTATGTATGCGGATGACTCAATACTATACACGTCAGCCATTACAGCGATTGAAATGACTGCAACACTTAACAATGAGCTGCAGTTAGTTTCAGAATGGGTGGCAAGGAATAAGTTAGTCCCAAATATTTCAAAAACTAAAAGCATTGTATTTGGGACAAATCATTCACTAAACCCTAAACCTCAACTAAATCTTGTAATAAATAATGTGGAAATTGAGCAAGTTGAGGTAACTAAACTGCTTGGAGTAACCCTGGATTGTAAACTTTCATGGTCAAAATATATTGATACAACAGTAGCTAAGATGGGGAGAATTCTGTCTATAATAAAGTGCTGCTCTACCTTCTTAACAGCACTATCAACAAGTCAGGTCCTACAGGCTCTAGTTTTGTCGCACCTGGACTACTGTTCAGTCGTGTGGTCAGGTGCCACAAAGAGGGATTTGGGTAAATTGCAATTGGCTCATAACAGGGTAGCACGGCTGTCCCTTGGACATTAATAATATGCATGTCAATCTCTCCTGGCTCAAAGTGGAGGAGAGATTGACTACATCACTACTTGTATTTGTGAGAGGTACTGACATGTTGAAAGCACCAAGCTGTCTATTTAAACGACTAGCACAGAGCTCAGACACCCATGCATACCCCACAAGACATGCCACCAGAGGTCTCTTCACAGTCCCCAAGTCCAGAACAGACTATAGGAGGCACACAGTACTACGTAGAGCTATGACCACATGGAACTCTATTCCACATCAGGTAACTGATGCAAGCAGTAGAATCAGATTTAAAAAACAGATACAAATGCACCTTATGGAACAGCGAGGACTGTGAAACAACACACACATAGGCACAGACACATGCTACACACACATGATAACATATGCACTATACACACACGTACACATGGATTTTGTGTTGTAGATATGTGGTAGTGGAGTAGGGGCCTGAGGGCACACAAACTTAGTGTGTTGTGAAATCTGTTATGAATGTATTGTAATGTTTTAAAAAAAATTATAACTGCCTTAATTTTGCTGGACCCCAGGAAGAGTAGCTGCTGCCTTGAGGATCCATAATAAATACAAATACAAATACAAACAGTCTCTATATGTGACACTTCACATGCACATTGTGACACTAAAAGACCACAGAGTACATTACAGCTCTCTCCACTCAATCACTGTTGTCATGGAGAGAGCTTTCAGTGCTCAGCACTGACATCATGACCAAATATGTCAATAAGTCAAAATTAGCTGTGATTCATTGAGCTTTTATTGAAATGCACTCGCTTTATTATCTCCTGATTTCTCGCTTTCATTTTACTTCTCATCATCCCTCTCTTTCTCTGTTTCACACCTCCCTCTGTCTGTCAACTCTTCTCTGACCGCATTTAATTATCTCAATATGGTTATCTGATCCTCTCTCTCTCTCTCTCTCTCTCTCTCTCTCCTCTCTCATCTCTCCTCCTCTCCTCTCTCTCTCTCTCTCCTCTCTCTCTCTCTCTCCCTCTCTCTCTCTCTCTCTCTCTCTCTCTCTCTCTCTCTCTCCTCTCCTCTCCTCTCCTCTCTCTCTCTCTCTCTCTCTCTATACCCCCCTCTCTCTCCCCCAGTGGGTGCCCAGCTGCTGTCGGTCCTGAACGAAACAGAGAATGGCTTTGTATGGGAGCACATCCAGAGCTACCAGGAGCAGGCCCACGGAGCCTGGCTGGGTATGACCTTTAACTCCAAAGGTAAGGAACTCCTCAGGTAGTACACAGTGAAAGTATACACAGATGATTCCTACTGTTAAAAACATGTAAATATCATGTACTGTAAGGTCATATAATCTAATGTGTTATGTAAGAAGAGTCATCTATCAGAGTGACATATGCTAGTCATATACTCATTCATATATTAACATACATGATTTGTACACACCTTTTTACAATAGGGTATTCCAGGGCTATTTCAAGGTATTCTTCAGACAGGCATGGCCATACTGTGTGTGTTTGTGTGTGTGTGTTGTTCCTGGTGTTGTCCTGCAGGGGGCAGTCTGATGTGGTCTGAGAGTGCGGAGGTGAAGTTCACTAACTGGGAGGTGCAGAGCACCAACCTGAGCATGCTGTTTCCCAACACCTGCTTCTGGATCCAGAGCAACACTGGCCTGTGGAAACCAGGCTCCTGCAAGAACCATACGCACGGAGTCATCTGCAAACGGCCACGCAGTAAGGAAGGCCTCACACTGTAGCATAGACAAATAACAATATGGACAATGTTCTACGTGTACATAGTGATAGCAAAGATGTATGACCACTTACTGTGCTTCATTTAAAACTGACAACAGCAATCTCTGAACTGACAACACAACTCAAATGTTATCTTTTTCGTTGCAGGTGCTGAGGCTTCGGCAGTAGTCTGTAAGTATGGATAGGATATCCTATGTTGTTTGTTCAAGTCATGAAATGTTAGATTTGTTTAAATCTGTAATGCTAATCTGTAAAAAATAGTCCCTCTCTCTCTCTCTCTCTCTCTCTCTCTTTCACTCCTCTCTCTCCCTGTCTGTTTCAGCTGAAGAGGACCACCTGCCCACTCTGATCGTGATCATGGTGACAGGCCTGGTGTTGGTGATCCTCATCGTGGGCATGATCTACCTGTACCGCTGGCACCAGGCAGGCTCCCGGGGCTCTTACGAGGGGGCGCGCTACAGCCGCACCAACTCCAACCACTCCGAACAGGCCGAGAAGAACATCCTGGTGTCTGACATGGAGCTCAATGAGCAGCCGGAGTAGCACTGGGAGTACCTAATATTGACTGACCCACTGACTGACTGATACACATTCTGCTTCTACATTTTATGTCCCTGTTCTGTTTGAAGAGATGTTGAAGATGCTGAAGGTCTGTGCTGTGTAGAGCGTAGCAGATGCCAATCAAATTCCATTTAAACAGTCATTCTCCAAAGGGGTTAATAATATGCAAATTACAATATGAACTGCTTTTCTTAGTAGTATAGCAATAATGTTTCTGATGTCAGTTTCGCATTTCATTTCAAACAAGTTCCTGTTTTTGGTCACTATGTCTAAAAGGCAGATGCCAAAGGCCAAAGACTCAGGCTTTGCACCAGTTCTTCCCTTGTCAAGAGACTCAGTATCATCCAAATATCCACACAACCTCCATCGAGACCATGATAGTATTTACCTGAGGTTAACTTCAGGTTTGTTTTGTATATTTCCTTTTGGTTTGTTTGTGTGTTTTTTTGTCAGAACCAGTGCAGCTGTAGTGAATCCTTTTTCTAATTCTGGTTGTTGTGGTGAAGCTTCTGTTGTTGCCCGTCCCCTGCCCTCCCTCCCTTCTGTTCTAACTGACACGTCAGCAGAGGCTGGTTGGAAAGCAATCCTTACTTCAGTGTGGAAGAGAAGAGGACAGTGATTTTACAGTGACGATTTTAGAGTGATTTAAAGAGTCCATGGCCTGTACACCACAACTGCTCATATAGTAGGAGAGAGAGAGGGGGGGGGGGGGGGATTTGACGTTGATACAGACTGATACTGTTTTTTGTTGTCTTGGTACAGTGTGATGGGGAAGATAAGGATATGACCCCCATTATATCTCAGTATGTAACGTTCTAGAGGGTTTTAGAGGGTTTGTTTTAGCACTTTCTACCACCATCATGAGAAGAGCCAACATTTATTACTTAAAGTAACTGTCCAGTGTTTCCAGATTTCAATGAAATATCACCTATAATTAATTACAATAGGAGTGAAATAGTTTTCCTTCCAAAGAAATGGTAATTAAATATTTTGAAAAGCAGCTTTTCTGTGGTGGAATGGTTTGAGCCTACCACAACAACAGAATGGTGTATACCGGTCATTATATGCGAGTAGACCACTGATTGGCCAGCATTGTCTGTTTGAGATACAGGTTTGAGGTGGGGGTTTTTAAGTATTTTTTCTCCAATTTAAGCTTTGACCACAAATACGAGTATAGGATAAGTCAACAACATTATTTGGTTATGAGTTAACAGAATATCAACTTTTAAAAGTGAGATTTTCACTAGACAATTACTTTAAGCAAAGGACAGTGCATTCACTCCTTTGTTCATGCATTATTACTAAGGTACTTTTCAATTGTTTTTGTTTCATTTCCTTCCCTTGGCTTTTGGATGGGTAACATGGTGTAAAGTAGGTGAACGTCTGTGTCTCATGACTGGTACGGATGGTTAGGTTTCCCATGTTAATGTTTGTGTTTGTTGGTGGTATGAATACACACTGACCTGCAGCCATGGAAAACATACCCTATATGTACAAAAGTACGTG